CCTGCGAACTAAATTTATTTATTTCATTTTCTATCTACGCGCATATCGTGAAAATTCTATGCATTTAGTGCAGCCAAAGCGATCAATATTGAAATCATACGAAAGGAAATGAGCAATACATTAGAAATCCCTTCGATAGCTTGGCATTCAAATGTACTCATTGATAAATCAATAGCGATCTTCGATTGATCGCAAAAGTGAAATTTTTTTGCACAAATAAGTACATAGTAAAAATCTACCGATCTGTCGACATATCAAGTAATGAAAGAATTTTGTGCTATAAAATGTGAGCCGCTTTAATCGATTCTGTGTAAAGTAATTAACTTTTTGCATTGATAAAAATTATCAACTATGTCAAAAGTTGATCGAGTGCGATTCCATTGGGAATGGATATTGTTATCATCTGTCATATGCGTAAAAAAATTTTCCTTGTGTGCAACATGAAAAGTGCAAATTACATAACACAGATTATATAACAGTATGATAATATTATAAAATTCAATGCATCAATATTTCCTTAAAATTGTGGAGAATAAAGAATTTCTTATCTAAATGTTTCAAAGAAATAGACCTTTTATTAGAGAAACAAATCCATTAAACTCTTTAAATATAGTATTATAGACATAGGAGGAATAAGGAGGAAGAGCTTGTCTCAATCCCTAAATTTTAACAAGCAACATAAATGATAAAAAACATTTTTAGAACGAAAAGTTATTTGTGTATGAAAGTTCGCTGAAGATTTTCGAAAACTGATTTCAATATAAGTATTATATATTAATAAGTTTTATATGAATATAAATTTTTTTCTCTGATTAAAATTCTAGGTACAACCCATTATCACTCATAAATACGCATATCGCAGCGATAAAAATAAAATTAGAATTTAAACGAGACAATAATGACCGCGACATCGTCAAGAGTCAATCATGTTGGATGAAAGAAAAATCGCTGCTGCGATAATAATAACCGCGTGCGATTTTCCGCTCATTCTGCATGTCTGCCGCATCTAATTACTTGACGTATGCGCGAACTGTCAGTGAACTCCGCGCGTTTGCATTCAGATCGCACCTTATAACCGTTCGAACAAATTCACGAATTATTCAACACAACATAGCTCTCTCATTCGTCAATTTTCATGTAATTGACAAATGAGAGCATTTCATGCTGATTTCCTTGAACATTTGGAGCTTTTACGCAAAATCATTAAACGCTCACACATTTGTGTTTTGCGCAAATCTGTGCGGTGTAATGAATAATGGAGGAAGGAAAGTAATTTTCGGTAACAAAACGATACAAAACTTTGTATTTTATCAAATTACAATCGCAAACATTCTAAATAAAGGGAAGAGTGATTGTCTTTTATCTTTTCCATGACAACGACAGCTTTTAACTGTAAATTGAAGATTTTCATTATAACATTTAACGTAGATAAATAAACGTTTGAATAAGCATTCGATTTTGCGAAATAAATGCGAAATAAATAAAATGCACTGTATAAAATATAAACAATCATGTTATATATAAAGACAAATGTCAAAGTTTGATATTTATATATTGATAAAGATCGATGATGCAAAAAAAAACTGTCACTTGTATGCTCTTGGTGTCAGAAAATGTGTGCTGAAATATATCTAATTCTAAGTTTCACTTGCAGCTACAATAAAAAAGAGTAATATAATTTCATTATGATTTATTCAGCACGAATCATTGACCACGATTATATAAAACATTCATATGCGATAAAAGTCGCGCAATAAAAATTGTTATTCTATGAGTAAAGATGCAAATACGAGAGTTTTAATGAACGCATTTAATTCCTTTCCAATTATAGGCAAATCAAATGTAAAAATGGGTTATGATTTTCTTTGTAATGCTGGTCCAATTTATCGATATTACATAAAAATCTCCAAATGGACTGAACAGAATGAAAAATCTTTTTACAGAATTAAAATAGACACAAAATTAAGAGGAGACGTAGTGAAGCTTATAGTAATCGAAAAAAGTTAAAAAGTTATTTAATTTTTTTTCGATTTTAGTATAAAGTAATTTTAGTAAAATTACTAATTACTACGATTTTAGTAAAAAATCCACTGCACCACCTTCTAATTTTGCGTCTACTTTAATCATGTAAAAGAATTTTGTATTTTGTGTAGTTAATTCAGAGATTTTTATACTACTATAATGTCAATAACTTGGTCACTCCAGCATTTCTTTAAGCAGTTAGATTCTCGTCAAATACGGAAGTGTATCTAAGAGTGTCATGCAGAATGGTTGAAAAATTGCTTGCATGTTATATTATACCATATAAATTGATCGCAATCAAAAATTTGCAACGATATGCCAGTGTAACAAAAAATTTCACATACGTGTGTGTTTTTATTTATCTAACAATAAGTAAGCAACATATATGTCGTATTTTTTAATGGAACGAGTTTTGAAAATCTCTTTGATGACCTTTGTATAAAATTGTTTTTCGAGAAAAGACTGACTGAAAACTATTGAAACAATTGAATGATTATTGTAGTTGGATTACACAAGTTAGTTGCAAACAAATTTAATCAAATACGCTTAGGCAATAAAACATTATTATTATTATATTTCCGACATCGCGAATTGCACATAACAAAGACGTTGGCACATTAATTACGCTCGAATTAATGTAAAACACACGTTGCATTGTTTTGTTCATTCTGGAATGTGCCCGTTGAAATACGCTCGTTAAACGATTCAGTGATGCCGTAAATTTCCAATTGCTATGCATAACCATGCGATACATTCGAGAAACAGAACGTATCAAAAATTATAGAATAACATCTCTATAATATCGTTATGTTATCAGATTGTTCCAAATTGAGAGAAATAATATAAATAAAACTAATTTAGAAAACTACAAATATGTAAAATAATATTATCAATAATATAAACACTATTTAACCTACACAATTTATAAAAGAAAACTGCAAGAATTTTTTTTCGCATTTGTAGAATTTCGTTTTTAGCTGATTTTGTATACAAATAAGCCATAAATACATAAATTATGAGTTTTTATTCCTTTAATTATTTAAGCAAACCAGTTTTTGTCTTTATTAATAAAATGTAATAATTAGTTTCCGATAAATAAGAGGATATCTCTTTAGAAGATCTACGTTAATATCGATGACTTTCTTCTACTACAATTAGCAAGATTATCTTCGCGATAGTTATTTAATATTATCCGCTTTAAGTGCTGGTGAAGCATATTTCATGTAACATCGAAATTTCGTCGCGGCAAAGAATTTCATTTTTTTTCGGATTTACAATAAGAGACAGAACATAATCAGATTGGGATGGCTTGTTATAGAAAAATATCTGTTACGCATATTGTACGTGCTTTGAGTGCAACTTGGGAACAGTATCCTTCGGGAATTTGACTGAATGAAAAGACCATTGCTGAAAAGGTGGATGGACGCCGAATGGGTCAAACCTCGGTGAGGAATTGAATTACGTTTCGTTAGAGCCGGCATAATAAAAGGAAGATAATAGCCAGCGATAAAATGGTACATCAAGCGTAGCTGATATCAGGGATGGTCTGCCTGCAAGTTACAGGCGTATCATCCCAATTTTCCATTCATCTATTTCTATTTCATATTTCATGTTGATCAATTCGACAAGAGTATTCTAAAAAAAAGTAATTTTTCTTCATTATTTTTATCGAGTTTTATTTTGTATTCCCCTTCTCCTTGTATAACAAAATTAATAAAACTTCAAAATACATAAATAAAAAATATGAAAAAATAATAATACGAAATGGTATTAATGAATAAAATATAAACGGTTTTATCATTCAGTTTTACACTAAAATGAGAAGCGACTAATTGTTATAATATTTTAAACTGAAATAGCATTGTTTAATTATATAATTTATATAAATCTTGAAATAATAATAATAATAATACAAATGAATTTATAAAAGTAGAAAATTATTGAAAAATAGAGTAGCACGATAAAAATATTTTTCTATTTGTAACTTAATTGATTGCAATTTTTACCAACCTAACGAGGCAGTTAACGAGGGTCGAGGATGGTCGAGGTTTTCTCACAATCGACTGTAATTCGAGTTCGATCGCTTATGAGACCATCAGAGAACCCGCCTTTTAAACGGCCTGCACGTTCTGCCTTTCATCTTCACGAGTCTTTCCTTGCTAGATATTACGCTTTTTTGTAGACTCAGCCAGAAAACACAATGCTGCCAGCGATATCAGGCTATTTTTACGTCGCCAGATGATCATAAGACGAACGGAAAAGCGCTCGCGAAAAACAACAGTTATGCGAGCAATAAATCAACAATGTGCTTCGTGTGTGTGATTTACACACAGTTAATTAAATTGCCCATTTTGTTCAGAGAAAGTAAACAAAATTTTCGATTTATCCACATATTTATAATTAAAAAATGATCATATATACGTGCGATAAATATTTGTTACAATAATTAAGATTCATATTACATTGCAATCAAAACAGAGCAGAGTAAACATTTTATTTTATAAACTTTTTAGTTTTCTATTTCCCTTTTATTTCTCCAGCTTCTATTCAATACGAAGATATAAAAGCAGAATAAAAATAAAAGAAAATAAAATTTGCCTTTGTGCGTGTGTACGCAAGTCCATAAAATACACACACAATAAAGAACACACAATCAATTACTGACATCAAAATTGATCGATGAGAGAAAACAACGGCAACTTAAATTTAATTTACTTAAGCGATCGACGAGAATTGAAATTTATTACGAACGATTTGGCCAGAAGTAGTATCGCTTTAATTTTAATTTCCTGTACGCACGCGTGCGAGAAGATTAAATCGTCAGTAAAGGATACATCATGCGTGAAAGGGTTAATGCACTGGGATAAACAAAGATCGGGTGTATTGCAGCAACCCTAGGATAGTGGGATAAGTGATCGACGCATGTACACGGATTATCTTGTCGTGTGGATCAGTTATGGTATTTCTGATAGACTTACCATTGATCACGTGTACGTTGACACTTGCTCCCTCCGCCACGGTAGGAACGCAACTGTAGTTTCCGGAGTCACTGAGCTTCACATGCGTGATCCTCAATCTGCCGCACAAAAGGTAATACAGTTTATCGCTACGTTATATGCGGAATGGGTAAATTACAATGCATATCTGATTTATATAACTATCATTTATATTAAATCGATCATGATAAATGCAATATAGAGTAACACCACTAGTTGTGGAGCATTCTTAAAAAAAAAATTCATTTTTTTATCTAGAATAATATCAAATAATTAATAAAATATTTAATAATTATAATTGATCATAAAGATTACATTATGAATGATTTTATTCCATTTCATTACCGTTTTAATTTGAATTAAACAAAGTAATGACAATTATCCATAATTAGACCCTATGTACTAATCGCGGATCAATTCATCAAATGCTTTATCTTTTTTGGTGGTGTTACTATCCCACAAAAATAATAAAAATAATTTGCGCATGCATATCGTAATATATACAGAATGTCTCACAATTATCGAATTTCTTCTTAAAAACGTATTCTTGAGATAATTTTGAAAGGCTATAATAGTTTTCGAATTACACACTATCTTTAATTAATTATAATTCAAAAACTATTGTAGTCTCGACATTTTTGTATTAGGATTTTCGTCTTAGAATATTCAAAAGAACTCAGAAATAATAATGGAGGTTCTAAAAGTAAAATAGTTTTTTACTTATAAGCATTCAAAGTTAGTTTATAATTCAAAAAATTATTGTAACTTCGATTTTTTATTAGAATTTTCGTCTTAAAATTATCTCAAGAAAATGTCCTTAAGAAAATTTCAGTAGTTGTGAGAATTTCATTATATAGGTGACTCACCCTGTATAACGAAATTATAATTGATGATCCACATCTAGTTTTAGAGTCTAATTGTTGAATAATGATTTTAACCATTCAAGTTTATTTAAAATTAGTGACAATTAAAAATCAATAATTTAAAAAAAATTGATGGAAATTAAATTTATTTAGCAATAAAAAACAGTTAAATTACGAATAATAACACCTTTGAATATACACATGTATATTATATTATTTTATATTCTATTTTGATTCTTAAAACAAATAAATCTTTTCAGAATAACATTTGTAAGATTTGACAAGTATTTAAATATTTTTATAATAAATTTACACAATAAAACGATTATTATAAGTAGTGATTAAGTAACACCCGCGGACATATTTAATCTCAATTGAGCAACGTTGATTTTTTTCATGAAATCTTATGCTTTACTTCCTACGATAAAAAGCAATTTTTATGATATTATACTTTGAACGAATTTTTAAAGATACGTTAGTTAATTTCGCAAATTTAATTATAGTATATAATATAGTATATATAATAAATTTAATTAATGACATCAATAAAATGTGTGTTTCTAATAAATTAAATTCAATTGACAAATTCAATTTAAAAGTGCTAAAACAAATGCTAAAGAATATTGTAGGATGTACCATTTAATGAAAAATATTATAATTATTTAAATATAAAAAGTGATACGGAATATGTACCTGATTCACATCTAATGGTTTTATCCTAAAATGTAAAAATAAAAAATTTCTCTAAAGACTGCGCTGTTTTTACAGTACAAAAATGCCGCTTTTGAAGAAAACATTTAGTGTCATAAGAGAAATACTACGAAGCTTTACCGTTTTTACACACACTATATATGAATGAATTTGCATTTTATTGTATTAATAATGAATGTTGAGCATTTAAGTAACTAGGTGAAGATTTTTTATTTCATTTTTCTTTTACTGAACAGTTTATCTGCGCATATCGGCTTCATTAAAAATGTGACTTAAATTAAAACTAGAGAGTATTAATTTTAACCAAAAAGGACAAGATACGACGAAAGAAGTGACGTATACGGAGTCAGAAAATTACTACTTGGTCGTTAGGGATGCCATGTATGGAACTAGCTCTTTGAAGCTTACTTTGTGAAGGATTTTCTTTCGTTTCGCTTCGTATGCTATCAAAGAAAAGTCATTTTCCAAGAGATAAAAATATATAAAATTTTCTAGAAAATAAAATACAAATATAAAATACAAACTAACTAACTAAAATTGATTGACTGATTAACTGTAAATATAAACATTTTTATATATAAATTCGATAAAATTTTTAATAGCGGAATGATATATATTTATATAAAATATACATTTAGTTGAATTAAATGTATTTCTAGAGAATTAATGTGCATAATTATACTATAAATCTATCATATTTTCTTCATTTCATAAACTACTGTTATTTCATAATCTTACTGTAATCATAAAATCTCTCTCTCTCTCTCTCTCTCATTTCACGTTAATATAGAATATTTAAAAGCATTTATAAAATTTTCATCAAGATCGTAATTGCGTTGTGTATATGTTCTACATAATTGTTTTGATGTCATGTACGTTAGCGGCATACAGTTTCAGAATAGTATAAAGTACAGGATCGTATAAAATAACTAATAACACACACTAACTAACAATAAACTAGCGTTAATTTAATAATAATTATCCACGACATTAATAGCGGTAGCGATCCAATTACTTGTTCTCTCTGCACAGTGCATACATATATTTTTGCCAAAGGCAAAATGCATGACGTAAATTTCATAACTTGCACGATCTTCAAATACGATTTAGAGATATTTTTATATTATTAATAAACTGCACAATATAAAATAAAAATAACATTAAACATTTTTAGTAATAAATGTAATAAATGTACTAAAATTGCACATTTCGAAAACATATTGATTATACGATTACTAAATAATAATTGATAAACAAAATAATAAAAAGATAAGAATTCTAATTACTTACTTAGCTGAAATTTATAATTTTATAAAAATAAACATACTATATCTACAAAATTAAGTATGTAAATAATGATGAAATCATTAAATAATAATTATTTAATTTTAAAACGTTACGAAAATAACAGACTGCAATAAAGGAAAGTCACCGATATTGACATAGGTCTTTTAAAGTGACATCCCCTTCTTTTTCAGAAATTAATTATTGCACTTTATTAATACAAATAAAATCGTGATCAGTTTAGTTAATTAAAGAAGTACAAGCTCATAATTCATATGTGGTTTGTTTTTATACCAAATCAGCTAAAAAACGAATTCTACGAATTCTACGAAAATAAAATTTTTACAATTTTTTTTTGCAAGTTGCGTAGTTTAAATAATAGTAAATATATTATTGATAATATTATGTCATTTTAAATGTTGTAGTTTCCTAAATTAGTTTTATTTTTTCTCTTAGTTTTTCCATAGTACGATTTTAAATTTAAAATTGAGGTGCAGCGTAAACGGCCACACCTGTCTGTAAAACAGACTGTAAGCTTAACTTAATCTTTATAATGTTAATCTTTATAATGTTTATAGTGATAAATAGCTCTACTGGAGCTGAAGGCAATCGTATATATATGGAAAAACACTTGAAAAACTATCGCGTTACATATTTGCAGAATACCATAAAGTAAATATGCATATAATTCAATAAAAATGTTTTATAACGAAGTAAAAAGATTCTAGAAAATCTTATATACATTCACTTGTAGGTACTTCATACAGATAATTCTTTAAAAGAAAAAGAATAAGAATAGCATTACTGCTTACTGTGTCAATTTTATAGCTCATTTTGTTAGATGCTCATCTTACGAAAAAATTAATTATTGCAAAATTGCATACAGTATTATAAAAACTGTTTATATTATCTGATAGAAGACACTTTTCAGTTTGTACTTATGATTTTAAAATTTTATTTTTACCTTTTGTAACAAAAGTGATATGTCGGTATCGGCGACTTTCTTCTACATTCACCCATTTTAATTTTTAAATAAAAATAACATATGACAAAATACTTTTTATCAATCAAAATGCTGCTATTAAGGAGCATAATTAAACAAATGTATGTACCTCTGGTAATGAAAAAGATATAAACAATAGAAAAAGCATTGAAAAAGTATTGGAAGGAGAAGCTGGGTATCTAAAGACGGTTAAGAGTTATTAAACTCATCACATATTATAGAATAATAATTTCTATTATTTTATCGGAAAATTTTGTAATTATAAATTTTGAATTTAACTACTTTGTCGTAAAAGTGTCTTCAGATATAAATTTTATAGCTGTGTATCGTAACAGTCATCAATTTCTTTCACTAGAAGATTTACATTACATTCAACCAAACTTCAATCAACTCGTTCAACAGTAATAATCGAGCAAGTTGGAGAGAATTTTTTTCATTCTTTTTCCATTTTGTTTGTTAGACTCGTTACTGTTATGTAACAAATTAGATTGATCGGACCAATAGAAATTGGAACGAGCTCGAATTCTCGTGGTGTATCGCGGAAGGCTTTTGCGAGTGCGATGAGAACGCAATTACTCAAATATGAATATGGAATATCGATTTAAACACTCGATACGTAACACTCTAGAAAAGAGACGATTGATGGTGTTATGTTTGATAACATCTATTAAATATTTAAAAAAATAAAATTATTTTTGATTATATTAATCAAACATTTGGGCAGAATTATTTTATTCAACATTTTATAGTTATTATCAGACTCTTTTTCTCAGTGTACAGAGAGAAAAGTGCAGCCAAACTCGACGCGGAGACATTAATAAACTGTACGACAATTTGTATACTGAGTTGCGTTGCACTAATCGCGAGAGGAATAAATACGTAATTACACGCACGAGCGATAAAGTCACGGATACGCAAAAGTTAATCAACAATCAGCTAATTTAACGGAAAACTAGCTGGAAAACTGGTTCGAATATGGCTCCAAATGATTCTATCAAGAGGGAATTCTCTCGCGATTCTTTGTTAATCGAATAAAAAACTACTCAAAAGTTTTCACATTTTTATCGTTTCTAGTTCAATAATTATCTTTGTTAAATTTTCAATTTAAACATACCGGGGAAGAAAGAATTGTGGAGATTTAACTTAACGCGTCTTTCTCAATGAACGCGAAAGAAGAGGATAGATATAAAAGTTTGAGAAAAGTTTTAATTAATATCATCAGTATACAAATTGTCGATTACAAATATTAATAATTGTTATCTTTCATTAATTATTCTCATTAGTGTATTTCTATATTCATATTCTAATATTCATATTGTTTATAATTATCGTTTTTAGATAAGCAGCATAGTTTTGCCAGGTACGTAAGATATACGAAGAAAACAGAGATATCTGTTACACAATATATAACGTCACGTGAAGAAGCGCACCCAATAGATTATCGATTATTCATTTACTTCCCGTATTTCAGTAGTTAGCTTCATCGCGCAATATAATGCATCGCACTCGTGGGACCAATAACCACCGCTTAAGGTTACGGTAACGCTATTCCACGTGCGGTTACCGCAATTCCGTGAACTGGATGTACCACGAAATAATTATTACGATGCCAGTAGATGGTATGACGACGAGCCATAACGGTGGACTCGATGTAGTTCGAGAGTAATGAAAATGTATAGCAACGCTGGATTAAGCTCCTCGACAGAGAACTACCATCTTCATGGTAGAAGGAAAGATAATCTCGATACGACGGAATAAAACGTTATCCGGTTACATGTTAATATTATCGAGAGCACCAATGATTTATGCGCGTGCATGGAAATTCAGGATTAAAACCAGTGCCAGGATTGAAAATCAGGTTCGTAGATTAACTCCTCGCGTTAATGTGGAATTTGAATATCTCTTTATGAATGTGAATAATATATTTATTCTGGAAACATTCTGGGAATATTATTGTCGGATAATATAATGTTCATATAAACTCCTCATGCATTTCATTCTATTCGTAAATTTAAATTTGACACGAATTAAAAAGGAACGCGAATTTATAGAGAAAGTATTCATTTAAAAGAATTTAACAGAAGACTGCAGATATTTCTTTTATGTTTAACCTTATTTGCAGAATGTTGATTAAACGAACATTTTTTTAACTATACTGTGAAAAATTGTTTACATAATAAATGTTTTTCAAAACCTTATATAATTTTAAATTAAATAATTTTATTCCTCGTATACTTTGACCTTCAAAATGAAAAAAATTCAATTATATTAAGTTTAAAAACATATGTATATTAATTTAAAGTAGGTATAGATCCGCGAATATCAGTTATTTCATTATCAGAAATTTTGGAGTAAATACCATTAGATTAGGATTAAATGTATCTAATTTTAACAAACATATCGCGTATGAAAATGTAAGTACCACCAATCATGTAACATCAACGTTACATTATCATTATGGGAACGCTCGCTGTACTTTCGGACAGTTCCATCGAATTTACCGTAAGCGGACGTTTGCATGACGGAAGTTGCGGACCGACAGCTGCGCGACAATTAATTCGCTTCTTGAGTTGCGGCCCCGTAAATTTGCCCGCGCGATGTGTAACGGCGTCGTCGTGACAATCGTCAATCACGTCCAAAAACGGACGCGCGACGTCGCGCGGTGGACACAACGGCGACGATAGTGACGGCGGCGCAATATTCGGACCGACATAAGCGACCTGGCTGAACAGCCAGGTCGCCCGAAATGCGGGGCATGTCCGATGCGTCTTCACGGTGCGCGGGCCACGTGACAAAAGACCCTGTTGTCTCGGATCTGCCTGGGACAATTAGAATAATCAGATGTCATGTGACGCCGTCAGCGTCGCGATGTCTACCCTCTCCTGGTTTCTATCAAATAATATCAATAAAATACTTTTATCTTGAATTCTGAATAGAGAAATGAGACGTAAACAATTACATAAGTGGCTGTTTTTTCCTATTTCCAAACTTTTATTAATATGTGCAGTTCATGTTTGTATTTTAAAATGCATTTTTTTGTATGTCTGTATACGAAAAGAACGGTTTTGCCAAAGTATCTAAAGATTTATGCCTAAATTCTAAGCAGAATCGTAAGGATTGTAACATATTCTTGTAAAACTTGTAAGAATTTTTATATGCTTATACTTTATACAATATTTTTACAGATAGCTTCTTACTAGCCGTAAAATTTATGAGAAATCGTAGATATTTATGAATAATCGTACGATACATACGTATAAAATTAAAATAGATCAGTCATAAGTTCTTAAAAGTTTTACGAGAACACGTTATGGATCTTACGATTCTATTTAGAATTGACCCATTAATTACAGATACACAGATTTGAAAATAATTTTGTTGGACTAAATAATTAGGTATGTAGGTTGTTCAAACTGATTAAAATGTCAAAACTTTACAGCATTGCTCATCATGTTTGAGTTTCTTTTATAATTATTTTGATTTATTTTAATTATTTTCCAATAAAATTATTATTTTCAGATCTGCAACTACGTACATTTTTTTAGAGCAGCAAAATTTTTTCTACAAGTGTAAAAATCTTGAAATATTTTTTTTACATTCAAAAGTAAGAAAAATGTGCACAGTAGGAAGATGATTCTTTATGCAACATATTTAAATCTTATTTTAAATATTAAATATTAAATTGTAAATATTACATTTTAAATGAGCGCGAGTATGGCATGGCAGATAGCGCAATGGTCTATCATGTCAGATAAGTTCTAGGTAGTTCGATCCTGGTGGAAACCAAAATATTTATGCTCATGTCTTCTCCCGGAAAAGGTCGGCAACTTCTCGAGAGTATCCTCGCCTACAGAAACATTTATCGAAAAATTCACTATTTAGAATCGGTATTAAAATTGTAGGACCCACACATTTATGGCAATTGAATAATCAGCGCGCGTATATACCATAAGTATATAGTAAGAGAGATGTAACACAGAGACCTAACATAAAAAGAAGAAAAAAAAGAAGAAATTTTAAATATTAAATTTCGTCGTATATCTACGTTGCTATTTTATGTTAAATAATTATATAACATTAGTAATATCTATAAATGTTTTAAAAATTACAACAAGATTTGAATTTACAGCAATATTGAATTAACATTCATATTATATACAGCGCATAAACGAATTGTACATTTTAATGGATAGAATAAAATTTCTGTCATCATTGTTACCAACGAATGCTTTGACGGTATACGTATCGCATATTTTTAAGGTAGTTACAGTCCTGTGAAGCCATGGGTATCTCGAAATAAATTAATTTGAGCGTGGGATCAGTTTTTCAAAGAGCCACGACGACGTGTAGGACCGGCGGGACAACCACCCCAGCACGCCATTATTTCTCATTATTTCCCCTGGGCGCGGGAGGGGATAAGCGGAAGACCATTTATTTATTTTGCCGGCAGCTCGAAAAAGATATGGTTACAGCGGGTGCGATGAAATATTATACACGCGACGCTTCAATGAAAGGATTGTCGAGAAAAAAAAATACTTTGACGAGGAACGACTGAAACCAATCGCGCTTGACGAATATTGACCGCGCTTGATAAAGCCGTAAGAAAAAAGTGACTGAACTGAATGTGATTGATATTACATTTTAATACTTCATGACGTTTTTCAACTGTTCGTTGGTCGAGTTTATTTTAACGCGGAGTAAGTGCGTTATCGCGTTGCAAGTCCTTGGCTGAACAATTTTACAAAATTGCGACGTGCATATCGTTCAGGGCGTAACACCCGCCTGGTCGCGTTGTAGAATCCAGCTTTTAAAACGCACCAGTGATGCTGTGACAAAAATTGAAATATTTAAACTGCGTTAAAATATGACGGCCGCAAATATATGGAACGTGTGATCCTTATTTTTTATTTATTCGATGTATCCGCCTGACTGGAGTCGGTGTAAAAAATTAAATAGCACTTTGTATAACAATATCACATGGGTGCACACGTTTATGAAAGTTTCCTCTGTGCGGAAGTGGTGACACTGAAATGTGCGACAAGCATGACGAGCTTTTTTTCTATTTTGTTCAGCGTGCAAACAATTTACGAATTAATTAAGTTTTTGATATTTAAAATAGAAATAATTGCATACACTGTCGCGAGAGAGATACACAATCGTATATACGAGATTTATTTATGAATTGATTGATCATATCGACAAATTTTTGTCTGCTTTTTTTTCTGTAGTACAGCATATATTTTTCTCTATTTCGCAAAGCGAAATTTTATTATACTTTAAATTTCTTGCAGTGAAATCTCACTCTCCAAGAGAGTGAAAATGCAATCCTTTAAAGAAAGTGAAAATATTTCACTTCTTGAAAAAAACAACATGACAATTTTTACTCCTTTTAGACTAAAATCTCACTTTTTTTTGGAGTGAGATTTCACTCTTTTGAAGTAAAAATTCATTTTAAAAAGAGTGAAAAGTTTCTCTTTTTCAAGAAGTGAAATATTTTCACTTTTGTTTCAAGGATGGTTACATTTTCACTTTTTTGGAGTAAGATTTCTCACTGTAAGAAATTTAGAGTGTAATTATTGTAATTAAAAATGATAGTTTCCAATCAAGTTAAGTATAATAATTCTTTAGAAAATAAATTGCTTAATCATTCATTCTTACTTCGACGTGAGGGCATCACTCCATTCCGTCTCGACGGTTATACGAGGCTCCATTTCGATGTCGTTTTCTGATCGCGATGATGTCACCACCGCCTGACTTCCTCGATACCAAGCTACCGTTCCCAGATCGTGGGGACCTTGCGACATGACACACGTCAACGTCAAAAGACTTCCGGTCTTCACGTAGATGTCAGCCTGGCCGAGTATTCTGGCTCGCGCTTCTGCAACAGAAAGCAATTTTGAGTTCAACAATGATGTGATCGGAGTTCCAAGAGTATCAAGTAACTTAAATATCGATTAAAGATCGCTCAAGAAGGATCACGAAGTTTAAGAACATATTTGCACGTATCTGTGTATATGCGCTTGATAAAGCATCGTCATATCTGCTTCTCGAAAAATACGCGATTATCCATCACGAGAGATTTTGTGATCACGAAGTGTAAATGTAATTTTACAGGATATGGCGAGACACAAACACATAAAACAACAGCATGCGGGAAAAATAAATCGGCGAGAGACAGTTTTAATCATCGTTCGTTTACGCGAGTTTACACGTGTTGCGTCGAACTGCTCGATAAAGCTATCTCACGATGTAATAAAAGGTGTGTGATTAAGTGAAAAAAATTGATAACGAACCACAGACATTGATAACAACCACAGATACAGCGTTATTGCTGGTGCAACGGTGTCTGATTAAAAGCATCGATAATTGATAAAACGACAAATTATTTACAAGCGGTTTTATAATAGTTGCATTAAAAAAATATTTTTTTTAATTACATATTAGAAATATTCATAAGAATACAATGTATTCAACGTATATTTATAACTGCAAAAAATAAATAGTAGTTATTCTTTTTATGAGCAAGTTTTAATAGTTTGATAATATTTTAGCAGTATCTTCGTAGTTTCCTGTGATTTTAGCATCATAAAATTGCATATTATTTAATTCTTTACATAGTTGGAAAATTTGTATTAAATTTAACACATTTCATGTGTCTCAAACGGTCCATTTAAATTTTTGTGTTACTTTTTAATTAACAAAAACAAAATGAAAATGTCAGAAAATAATATCATGTAAACAATAATTAATATAAAAATATGACACAATTTGCTACAAATTGTGGAAGCATATTTTTTTTTCAGTAAAATTAGTAATTATAGTATGTTAAATTAACATGTATTTTATTCACTTATCTCAGGATTTCAATGTTTCAAAATATATTATTTTTATATCATTTAATCACTTGGCTAAATTACATTATTTTGAAACTAAGAAATATTGAATACCAATTTAATACAAAGTTTTAACAAGGACTTGATCGGTTTTGACACAAATATAAAATGTTTTTATGCTGTGTATCTTTTTATTATAAATTATATATTTTTTAATTCATAATAAATTACTTTTAATAGTAAATATCGATTTGCGATTGCATCGATGCATCATCTGCATAAAGAGACGCTCTAAAAAAACGTCGACGGTGCACCTCGATGATGTTCGATCGATAAGTCACACAGCACACCTTTCATCGAGAGAATTCTCCTCGTCACGGTTAGCCGTTCGGATTTTATATCACATTGCGATGACCGGGCGCATTCTTGCGGAGCTGTCATTCCGAGTCATAGAACCATGTCTCGATTCTATCGCAATAGGTAAAATGGATGTGTCGAATTTGAAAAAGATGCGTAGCTTGGCCTTGCAAAGCGATAAAAAGGACATTCGTAGGCATATCATCTATATGACCAACTTTCGTACCAACGTCACAATACTATTTCTGAAACGCTGATATCAAGCAAGCGGTCGACACATAATTTTGTACGGTTAATGAATTATAAATGTAGTCAGTATGACACAATTAATCATGCAATATAATATTTAATCAAACGCAATATAATATTTACATAATCGGTTTATCATAATTTAATAAGCCTTGATTTATGTCCGTAATATTATATGGAAACGAATTTTTATTATAAGTACTTTTTCATCAAATATTTTACTAAGTAGAAATTTTACTAAACTTTCATAAAAAATTTTATTACTTAAAGAAATAATTATATGATTGTCAATTTGATGTATGAGGGAAATTTGTCAACTATCGAAAATTTCTGCAAAGGAAGTTCATCAAGGAAATTCTTGCAATATTGCTTCCTGTTGCTATATTAGATATCATTGATGCTATATCATGCAAGTTGATGTTTCGAATATGCTCAAAATTAGAAAAGGTTAGTAAATCTTCACAACTTTTTTTTTATATTGACACTACTAAAAAAAGTGCACTTTTTTTCTCTTCTTAATTATAATCCAATTTTATATTTTCAAAATGGAACTGTGCAAATACAGACAAAAATAAATATTTTATCGTATAATATTATCCTTGTATTTAATTTAGGCTAATATATTATAGGAATTTTATTAGCACTTTTTAAAATTAAAAAATATTTATTTGAAGAGCACATTAAATAATAATTAAATAAATTGAAAACAGATCTTCTTCACGAATGGAGCTTATATCTTAATAAGAAACTACATTTCACATTCTACGGATCGTATGAGTCATGCTTAAAGCGATAGCTTTTCCATGTCGTCCACGTCTTACCGAAAAGTCTTTTACGAGGTTTCGATAAGGTCTGACCAAGTTTTACTGAAAGATCGCCGTTTGTGATGCAAAAGATGCGCTGACCGTATTCTGACAGGTCGTTTTTTTTCCACCTCGAAAGGCCATTACCTTTACATTACGCTGTATTGGAGATTAGTTTCTTTGTGACCCGGCGGCATATCTATCTCTCGTTTCCTACTGTCTCCTACATGGTGTTTACGCTGTTCTAAATCGATAGTCTACGATGGTATTTTGTACGGAGCAAGGAGGAAACGATTGTATTTCTTCGAAGTTTTTGTACGCAACACGCAAACTTAAATTTACCGTTAATTCATCGTCATATTTCATGAGTAATACAAGTCGGTTTTCAATTTTCTCTTCCTTATAGAAAGAAATTTACGTACAATAGCAGAAAAAAATTTTTCATTTAAAATTATTTTTATTCATACATTTATTCATACATTTCATATATGAATTTCTTGCTAATTAATTATTAAATTATTAAATATAATTTTTATATTAAATTTAGGTTTTTTTCTCGTTAAAATTTTACGTGTATAATATATTGAATAATCAATTTTTTTAATATAGATATTAATAATATAATATTATACTTAAACAGCCAAATTTTGTGTGATATTATTTATAATCTTAAAATTATCGAATAATCAAATTGAATTCAATTAGATTCGAAGAAATTCTGAAGATCCAATGCATTAGATATTTACAAATGTTTAATTTTTATTAAAAAATACAACATTAAAGTTAAGAAATATAAAAATTAAGAAATAAAGATACTTCCTTTTTCTTTTGCTGCTTTTTTATTAATTTTATACAATGCAAATGAAATGATGACACATATAATTATTACCTCTTTACCATACAAATGCATTAATTTAATATCATTGTTATCGTAAACGAGAGCACAAATTGCGCGAAGTAATTATCCTGGCAAGTACGCCGGCCAACGATGATACGTAACTGAACTGAGAATTATTCGCGTAATCTACATCATCGTAATGTTGCGCAAACTGGAATCGATTATTTGCCACGTTGAACTTCCATTAGCGCCAGCCGGCTGTGTTTATGTATCTGACAGTTGTAACGCAGGTGCAATTAGGTACACATTGAAGCAACAGTAACTTTTTAGGTTTCTGTTTCGTTAAAATTATCTTATTACCCGATGGATGAAAAGTCAGTCAAAAAACAAAATAATATGAGGAATAATCTCTGAACAAAATTACAGATATTATTATTTTTGCTAACATTTTTATTCCAATTAAATAATTAAAATTCTGAAAGCAGGGATTATCCGGATTATTTTTACAGAATATTCTCAAAGTAATAAAGTAATCGGATTCCACAATTGCTAAGAAAACACTGATTACAAGAAAGCATCTCTATATTTCCAATTAAGAGCTAGTTACTAACGCATGATGCTACTTTTATGTAATTATTATCAAACTTCATTAACCGCATTTTCGTTATAACTAATATTATTGCACAGAGATATGCAATACCGCGCCTCTCTCCAAGATTACGAATTTCACGATCTTCGTTGTAGCTTTGTCTCCAGGTTGTTCATGCGCGTGCTTGCTATTCACCAGTATAAGGAGAAATTGTGTCGGGTCTGAGTGCTAGTATAGCAGTAGAGAACAGATTCCAATTTACAGCGCGTAGGAACAAGGAGCTCTTAGATGCAGCTAATCCGATGTACGAAACGGCGTACACGGATGTATCAACCGTTTAAGCTGCTTAACGTCAAAGTGACTTGAGATGCTTGCAAGTAGTAAGTTCAAGTGGGTGTAACTTGTTTTATTGTGTGACACATGTTATTCAGACTGTTGTAAATGATACACTGACGTTAGATGAAGAAAGAAATTTACGTACAATAGCAGAAAAAAATTTTTCATTTAAAATTATTTTTATTCATACATTTATTCATACATTTCATATATGAATTTCTTGCTAATTAATTAATATAATTTTTATATTAAATTTAAGTTTTTTTCTCGTTAAAATTTTCTAAAAATAATCCGGATAATCCCTACTTTCAGAATTTTAATTGTTTAATTGGAATAAAAATGTTAGCAAAGTAATAATATCTGTAATTTTGTTCAGAGATTATTCCTTATGTTATTTTGTTTTTTGACTGACTTTTCATCCATCGGGTAATAAGATAATTTTAAACGTATAATGAACGTAATAATGAACGTTTGGCGTTATAGAAATACCGACATGTCTTAGCAGAATATTGCAGTAATAATCAACAGTATTTTCTCGATGTTTCTATTGTTTCAAGTTCATCATAAGAAATTGACGGCTACTTCAAATTTCTTTTTACAGAAAATTGATCCTAGGATTGACGCAATTTTTTTAGAAATAACAATATTACACACTCGATTTGATATCGATTTTTAAAATATATTAAAATAATACAAATGCGACGGTCATTCTTCTACTATCTAAGAGATATACGTGCTATAAGAGCTTCACATATCGAAAGAGGTTGGCAAATGTTGATCTAGTCGGATACGCAATGCCGGAAGTATATCTGGTGAATCGACTTATCACTTTGCGACGGCAGGTTCTTGGTACATTTATTTTATTCTTCACGA